TACTGACTAGAAATGCTGGGACATGCCCCATCTAAATCTAGCAAAACTGAAACTAAAGTTAAAAGCAAGAAAGATAAATATGTCACTAGTCCTCGAAGAATGAGGACTCAACACTGATACTGCTGAACTGAAGATCGTGAACCGATCTATGTGTGATCTGACTGTTGAGGACCTGAATCTACATCACGAGAAGATGTAGCGCAGAGTATGCGTCAGTACTTGAAAGGTACTGAGCATGAGGGATAGAGTAAAACTGAACAATAACATAACTGAATCAAAGCATATATCTGAACAATGACATAACGTAAGCATGATACAACTGGAATACTGAATATGAAATACTAAATGCAATGACCAAGTTTATAACATATTGAGACTGAATATTGAACTATACTGATAACATGGTCAATGCAATAGAGTCTGACTGAACTGTAAGGGAGCTACTAATAACCGACATAAAACCACATGAGCTAAATGTGGAGTCTGATGTATACGCCTCATCGAGAGGACCTAATATACTCGGCCAAAGGTATAGAGGCATGCTGGAGTGATCACTAAAATGATGTGCCCACAGAGGGGACTTATAAACCTACGGGGACACGTAGTTCTCGGACTATTCGGGTAGGATGAACCCTATTCCACTCGGTATTAAGCTTCTCCCAATTGATTACGTAATTATCACTTTATAATTGAAAAATTTTAGTACTAGATAGCTCAAAATACTAACATGCAAAATCTGAGAATACAACATTAATATATTGATAATGACACATTCGAAACTGAGGCATGCATGTCTGAAAATATCTGAATTATCTGAAATAACTGACCTAGCAAGTTTAATTCATGAACTAAAGAACTACATAGCTAGGGTTCTGAATTTATGAAGGAAACTATATTAAAACATGCTAAAAGCCATGATAAACTGATTTGGAACATTCAATAACTAATTCACAACAATCTGCTATAATTCTAGAAACCCTAGGTCTAGTTGATAATAAGGGAATCAAGAATCTGACTGAAATCTGGGACCTAATGGGTGAAAGGGATCCACCAATGAAATCCCACATACCTGGTGACGAATTCCACAGAGAAATCTTTCAATTTCAAGGCTGGAACTGATGGAACCTTGTTGTGTTCTTGAACTAGGGTTCTTGACCTCTTTTATCCTCTTACGCTCTAATTTTCTAAGGTTTGATTAATGATTTGACTTATGTAAGTTCTAGTTATGTTTCTAGGCTAATACTAACCAAAACCACATAGTATATGGTCTAAACGACGTAGATTAGGGGTCCAACGCATAAGGAAAAGACCAAAAGACCCCTGACTTAATTGTTGTCGGGGTCACCGACGGACCGTCGATCGACTAGCGATCCGTGCTGGTCAACCGTCAATCGTGACTGAGGGCTGGATTTTGAGGATCCGACCTACGGCCCTGGACCACGGACCGTGGTCTGACCTACGATCCGTAGGTCCTGGCGTAGCCTGACCCTTAGCCAATTTTCTTGAGGCTTTTGGGAGGAGGGTCGCAAGTGCGAACCACGCACCTGCAGGACGGACCGTGGGTTCTCCTACGATTCGTGGATGGTACCCGTGGGTGAAACCTGCAACACCAGAAATCTGTAATCTGGTCTGTTTTAGTATACAGGGTGTTACATTATCTCCCCCTTGGGAACATTCGTCCTCGAATAAAGACTAAACTAGTTGGAGATGGAGGGAAAGAGTTGCAACTCTACCACTAAACACTGGAAACTGATTTCTTACTGAACTAAGTTCCAAGAACATGCAAATACGCTGAAAATGCAAGTACAAACTGAAGAAACATAATACTAAGACTAAAACTGCGCATAAATGACTGAAAAATTGAAGAGGAACTATTACCTCAAGCTGGAATGGAATCATAAGGAAAGAGGTGAGGATACTTGGCCTTCATGGCTGCTTCTGCTTCCCAAGTAGCTCCCTTTACGAACTGACTCCTCCAAAAAACCTTGACTGAAGCGACTTCTTTGTTTCTCAACCTTCGAACCTAACGATCAAGGATTTCAAATGGTACCTCTTCATAAGTGAGAATATCCTTCACAACCACACTTTCTAAAGGAACAATAGATGTTGGGTCACCTACACACTTCTTCAACAGCGAAATGTGAAAGACCGGATGCACTGCTGCTAGTTTTGTTGGCAACTCTAACTCATAAGCCACTTTACCAACCCTTTTCAAGATCTTGTAAGGGCCTACATATCTAGGACTAAGCTTTCCTTTCTTGCCAAATCTCATCACCCCTTTCATAGGCGACACTTTCAGGAAAACCTAATCATCAACTTGGAACTCTAGTTCCCTTCTCCTTACATCTGCATAGGATTTCTGGCGACTCTGGGCTATCTTAAGTCTATCTCTAACGAGTTGCACTTTCTCCATAGCATCATGAACTAATTCTGGCCCTATCAAGGTTACTTCACCTACTTCAAACCAGCCAACTGGAGATCTACCTCTACTCCTATACAATGCCACATAAGGGGCCATTTGAATGCTGGAATGGTAACTATTATTGTAGGCGAACTCTATAAGAGGAAGATGATCATCCCAACTACCCTTGAAATCAATCACACAAGCTCTCAACATGTCCTCTAAGGTCTGAATGGTACGCTTTGTCTGCCCATCCGTCTGCGGATGAAATATTGTGCTAAGATTAACCTGAGTACCAAGACCTTTCTAAAATGACTTCCAGAAATGAGAGGTAAATTAAGGACCTCTATCTGAGATGATAGACAAAGGAACTCCATTCAACCTAACTATCTCATTAATGTAAATCTTGGTGTAGTCCTCCGCCGAATCTGCAGTCTTAACCGCCAAAAGCATGCAAACTTAGTAACTATATCAACAATCACCCAAATTGAGTCATGTTGTCTGCGAGTACGAGGTAAACCTGTGATGAAGTCCATGTTGATCACTTCCCACTTCCAAGTAGGAATGTTGATCTCTTGGGTCATACCTCCTGGTTTCTGATGTTTTACCTTGACTTGCTGACAATTGGGGCACTTAGCCACAAAATCCGCTGTCCCTTTTCATACCATTCCATCAAAAGACTTCCCGCAGATCACGGTACATCTTAGTGTCGCATGGATGAATAGAATATATGGAATTATGGGATTCTACGAGAATCTATTATCTTAACTCACCCGCCTTAGGAACACATAATTGACCCTAATAGCGAAGCACACCATCTCCCCCTTGGGAGAAAACCTCAACTCTCTGCTGATGGACTACACCCTTTAGTTGGAGCAATATCGGATCACTCTCTTGCGTCTCCTTAACATCCACTACCAATAAAGATTTTGACCCATTCTGAACTGTTACACCACCATCTGATATGCTCATAAGACGAACTCCTAATCGAACAAGTCAGTGCTCCGAGGCACTAAATCTGTGGGCTAATAGAGACGAAAAACCAAGAAAGTCAGGTAATTCCTAAAATATGGCTTATAAATGCGAAAATATGCATGATAGGACCGTACGTAACGCTTTCCTAACTCATTACAGAGTCCTCATAAAGTTATTTCAAGAAAAAAAATTGGGTGCTCCGAGGTCCCAGATCCATGGGCTAATATCCATGAAAAACAAAAAATAGTTTCATAATTCCTAAAAGTTGGTTAGTAAATGCAAAAGTATGCGAAAAATAGTGGGTTTGTACGTATTGCTTCCCAACTCATTACGAATGTCCTCTTAAAGTTTTATTCAGAAAAAAAATTGGGTGCTCTGAGGCGCCAAATCCATGGGCTTATACACATGAAAAACCAATAAAGTCGCGTAATTCCTAAGAGTGGCTTGTAAATGCGAAAAAATTCCTGAAAATAATGGTGGAATTGTACGTAACACTTCCCCAACTCATTACAGAGGTCCTCAGAAAGATTTCTCAGGAAAAAAAAATTGGGTGCTCTGAGGCGCCAGAACCATGGCAAAACACGAAAAAACAAGAAAGATGTGGTATTCCTAAAGGTGGCTTGTAAATGCGAAAATTTGCCAAATAATAGTGGGATTGTACGTAACACTTCCCCAACTCATTACAGAGGTCCTTATAAAGCTTTTTCAGAACAAAATTTTGGGTGCTCTAAGGCGCCAGATCCATGGCTAATACACACGAAAAATCAAGAAAGTCGCGCAATTCCAAAAAGTTGCTTGTAAATGCGAAAATATGTTTGAAAAAACGGTGGGACTGTACGTAACGCTTTCACAACTCATTACGGAGGTCCTCATAAAGTTTTTTTAAATACCTTTTTGGGTTCTCCGAGGAGCCAGATCCATGGGCTAATACACACGAAAAATCAAGAGAGACACGTAATTCCTAAAAGATGGCTTGTGAATGTGAAAATATGCCTGAAAAAAAAAGTAGTGGGACTATACATAATGCTTCTCAACTCATAACGGAGGTCCTTATAAAGTTTTTTCAGAAAGACGCTAGATTAATGGGCTAATAAAAACTTAAAGAATATTTGATATTGACACTTTTTCTGATCTTTTGGATGCTAATGAAGCAATTAAATAAAATTACATGTTTTACCATTTAAAATAACTTGTTGGTTGGTTTTTTTTCTCTTTAACGATTGAATTTATGCCTCCGTGGCACACAAGCTCTTTAGAAGAATAATACAAATAAAAAATAACAGAGAAAACAAAAGGCAGTTCGTTTTGAATTTATGGGTGGAGGAACAATAATTGAAGTTGATTTATTTAATTTTTTCCAATTAAATGAATTGTTTTATCACATAGGTTTTGTATATCTCTGTATTAACTTGGTATCATGAAATACTCATTTAATCCTTCAATGAAACACTCCTCAATTATTCTTAACTATTAATTGTTGTGATTTATTTATTAGTTTTCTTATATTTTTTATTAATTTAATTAGTTAACTACTAGTATCTTTATTTTTACTTTTTATTTTATCTTTTAAAAAGAAATAGATAAAAATGACATGGTCATACTTTTGTGTTCCAGTAAATTTCTCAGCCCCAGCACTACTCATCTTCTTCTTTTTTTTCTCTCAAACAACCAAAGCTCAATGGGTATCTTCGATAGCACTTCCAATTCTACCAAGAAGGTACAAAACTCATTTTTCTATTTTGGGTATTAATATTAATTTCAATGTAACTTTACTTGTTTCTGTAATTTAACGCTGAGAAAAAAAAACTAATTAATGGCAGCAGAATGAGGAAAAAGAATGGTTAGGTGCAAGTTTCAAGCCAGAGAATTTTATTCCAGGGATAGTAATTGGTTTCATTATTGGGTTGTTGTTGGATTTGTCAAAACCCTCCAAAAGTAATACTTTGAAGAAGACAAGTAATTTGTTGAACAGAAATCAACCTGAAAAGATTTTATCCCCAGCTAAGGCTGATGAAGAGCTCAAAATGGTTTGTTTAATTCCTTCTTCTTTTCGATTTTATCCCTAATTGTTGGAATTAGTATTATTTTGATTTGTTTAATTTTGTTACACTTTATTTGTTCAGTTCAGGTAGAGTGTAGTTCTCAGAGTTGATTTCTCGTATGGTCAGTCAATTAATAGTAATAGTTTTACCTCCGTCCCTCCGTGTCGTGTAGAATATTGGAATTGAGAAACTACTAAATATGGACAGGGACACTTTTTTTGGGACATATTAAGACATTTAAATTGAGACAGAGTGAGTAATTCAAAAAGTCACCTTTTTTTTGTTGAAGAAAATTTGAATCAAGAAGAAAAGATGAGTTTTTGAGATAATAACTATAAGTTGAGTGTCTTGAAAACTCAACTCAGATTTTTCACTTCTATCTGTGCATTTTTTATTACTATTTGGGGTTTGTAGTAATACTTTTACTGAAAGGACATACAACTGAACAAGGGACTGCAAAGTGAATTCCCTAATAAATATGTTATGATAATAAAATAGGCAGATGAAAGGATAAATATTATTTCACTCCCATAAAGGAAAAAAAAAAGAAGAGCATTTAGCTCTAAAGTTTGTAACTTTTTTAGCATATTCTGGTAACTCTTGCTTTGGCCTTCATAATGCAAAAGCAAACTGGATAGGTAAGAATTGTTGGGTGATACTAACAACAACAAACCCAGTGTAATCACACAGGTGGGGTTTTGGGAGGGTAAGATGTATGCAGCCTTACCCCTACCTTTATGGAGTCGAGAGGTGATTTCCAATTGACCCTCGACAACTCTCTTACTTTATTGAGGCTTGGGACCTGCATGAGCGAGCTCACACAGATGGAGTTAAATATTCAGGAAAAATCTTTTCATGTGTACTCTTTCAACAACAATGAATTATCAGGCTTTGGAAATATGTTAACTATCAGATACCCCTATGAAAATTTGTAACTATATTGCTGTTGCCAAGGTGGGAAAATCTTCACTTTTTGATACCTAGCACTAGAGATACTTCAACGTTGTTGCTAGGCTTCTTGAAAATTAATTAGGAGCATGTACATTTTTGAAGGATTGAAAATTGGCATCTTCACCAAATACTTTGCCCAGAAAGTAAATTAAACTTTACTTAAGAAAAAAAGAGAAGGTAACTTCAACACAAAAAGAAATGGATCATGAGCCTAACTCAACCCCAAAAGTTAGCTTATGAGGGAAGGATTGTCCAAGTCTATATAAAGAGTCTAATTTTTCCTCATCTTAGGACTGCACATCTGGTATGTGGACAATTCCCCTTCTTTTGACATATGATTTTGGCGGTAACTAATGAGAATGGGAGGTGGCACAAAGGCAATTTCCATTCATGTAATTTCGTTTTCCTAGACAAAAAGAGGAACCTTATTTATTACTCTATATCGTGTTTCCTTATCTTGAAAACACTAGAATCCAGCTTTTTTCCCTTTTAATTTGTGTATGTGCGAGACACTGTGTGTTTACTATATTCTTCTTTTTTCTTACAAAAAAAGATACTGTATTGACCTCATCATATATTTTATTGTTTTATAAAATATATTGTTGTTGTTTTATTGCATGTTGAAAAATTTGGTACTCAATCCCCCCATCCCCACTCATTCTACGAACACACTCAGTCCCCCTCTGTATTCACAAACACAAAGAATCATATAAGGAAAAAGAAATTGATGTTGGATCCTTCTTCTCATCATCGAAACATATGTAGTGATATTTGTTGGGTCTAAGTATATGTTTGGCTGTCTCTATGTTGAATAGATTTGTACAAATGCTATTTTATGACCTTGAGATATTTAATAACAGGTATTAGTTGTCAGACAAGACCTGAAAATGGCACAAGGAAAAGTTGCATCTCAGTGTGCTCGTAAGGAACCTCTAGCATTTTGATGTTTCAATTGTTCCATATTATTCAAGTTTCTCATGATGTTTTCGTGGTCTGTGTCAATTTAACGACTTAATTAAACGACGCAGATGCTGCTACTGGCATGTATGCAGACCTTATGCAAAGGTATCTCTACAAGGATTATGCTCTACTGCTGAGAACAATCAAAGACATTAACCCTGAGTGTCATTTTCCATAGAAAGGACGGGCAGAACTAAGTAGTTTTACAGTTACACCAACCGCATTGGCTCTTAAGCTCCTTGCTGGTGACGTGCAGCTACAAAATTCCATTTCAGTGTGTTTGTTATTAAACTTGGAACTTTATTGTCTTGAGATCCCACTCCCGAGGAGCGTTCTTTTGTTAGATGAAAAAACTAAACTATGTCCTGGCCCTCCGCAAGCCCCTACAATAACTGATCCAAATTACGCATTTCTACTCCTGAGTGCTTAAATTTTATGCATGTCAATAAATGAAAATACGGAAATCTTTTACTGGAAAAATTCTCTCCTTTAGAGCTGTATTATTCTCAACCCATAAAAAAAAAAGAGTTGTATGGTTCCCATCAAGTATCCAAGAAAGCATTTGGCCTGTAACAACCTGAGGACCCCATTTCTTTTGCAGATTGCCAATTTCTTGTTTTTTCTTTTTTACTATAAAGATATGAAGTGGCATTGTTTGATAATTTATTTGATTGAATTACCTAATGCAGTGATCGGTATCTTTTGAGGCAATGGGAGCAATGTGGACAGCCCAAAATAGTTGTTACCTGCAAGAATCAGCAAGAAATGTAAGCAGGTGATCCTACTCTATGTTTCTCTGTCCGTAGACACCACCAACATCCATGCCTACTTGTGAAGAATGTGTCATCACGTTTTGAAGAATGATTGGCACTGTTTTATAAATTATAACCACTGCTTAGTCCCAAACAAGTTGAGGTCCGATGTATGAATCACAGTGTTATCAAAAGCAAAAAACACAAAAAAAGTCTAAGGTCCACTGGGGCTTTAAGCGCAAAGCGCAAATAAAGCATGAGTTTTAATAATAAAAGGCGCAAAGGGAGAAAAAAGACAAATATATAACTAATAATTTATAAGCATGAATGACAAATACATGCACAAAAAAATTGAAAAATAATTACATAAAGTGATATATCAATTGTTTGGTGTCATCTCTTCAAAAGAGGTTCATTGGCAAGGAAAGTATGCCTTAGAACCTTGATGACGACATTGAATTGCACATTAAGCGAGGCGAAACAGTGAAGCACTCAACACGTTTTGAGCCTCACTTCAGGGCTTAAGCACACCTTTGATAACACTGATGAATCATCATTGACCATGATTCTCCTTTTAAGATTGACACTGTTTTTTATATGTTTGGAAAATGTTCTATTAGGAATAAGTTGAAGGAAGCAGCTGAGGACATTGGGCTTCCAACTTTTGTAGTTGCTGATGCAGGACGTACACAGGTATCCTTCCGAAGGAATAATGTAAAACTGATGATACTTCTGTGAAATATATAAAGAGTATTAAGAACATGTAGGAGAGAGCTAGCGTTGGCACAACAGTAGAGTTGTTCTTGGTAATGTTTCTTCACAATTTTAAATCATGGAAATAAAAGCATCGCAAAATTGTTAGGGGAAGACTGCATCATATGATATATGTCCCACTTTCCACCTACCCCCGCACTACTCGGGGACAACTTCATTCATGGAATAAGCTCTTTTATTCAAAAAAAGTAGAGATAAGACTGAGTTATAGAGAAGAGAAACTGTTTCAAAATACTTACTATTAGAATCCCGTGAATATTCTATAACATATGTAAATACAGTAGGTAGCTTGATTTACTCCTATTATAATTAAGTATTGATTTCCGTTTCTTTTTTAGACATGTAAACTTAGGTATTTAAACCCCAATAGCTTGAGTAAATAATCAAGCAGAGTTCTCTCTCAAACTCTTGTTTTCTCACTTGGTATTAGAGGGACCCATCTCACCCAATGTTTGGACCCCAAAATTAAAATTGCCTACGCACAAGATGTCTAGCCTTGGGCGTGAGGTGGGTGTTGAAGAATGAAAAAAGTCCCACATTGGTGGTTAATGAGATGAGTGGTCTCATCATAAGGTTTGGGCGATCCTCCTCCCTTTGAATTAGCTTTGGGGTGTGAGTTAGGCCCAAGACCTAATTTTTCATGATATCAGAGTCACGTCCATCCCAATTTATGATTTATGGATGTCAAGCCCCCCATATTAAAAATTGTCCAATCACCAGATGTCTAGTCATGTGCGTGAAGCAGGGTATTAAGTCCCGCATCGGTGGGATGAGGAAAAGTTGAACTACTTATATGGACTTGGACAATTCTCCCCTCATGACCTAGTCTCGGTACATATAATTTGTATGCACCAGTTTGAGGGGGAGTTTTAGAATCCCCTGAATATTCTACAACATGTATGTATTTACCATAGGTAGCTTGATTTGCTCCTATTATAATTAGGCATTGATTTGTAGTGATTTCCAGTCCTTTTTAGGGAATGTAAACTTAGCTAAACCTCAATAGCTTGAGGGAATAATCAAGTTGAGTTCTCTCTCAAACTATTGTTTTCTCACTGTTACAATCTCTTGGAATCAATGTGTACATAGAGAAGAACAAACATATATAGAAGTAATGGTCTGTATAAGTGATATCAACTATTAGGATTAGTAGTTATTAGTATTACACTTACATTAGGTCTGGTGTTTGTTAGGAGACTTTTTTTTCTGATTGATACTTGTATATTCTTGTAGGGGTAAGTGTTGATTAGAGAACTTCTAGTTTTAATGAACTAGCAAATTGCAACAAAAGACAAATTATCTAGTGTTGGAATGTATGTACGGGCGGTTTATAGAAATGATCTAACTAATTTGGGATTAGGCATAGTTAATTGATCCACTAAGAACATCTAGAGACTGACAAGGGTATACTACAGTATCTATGCTTGTTGGCAGCTCTCAGTTGCAGAAAGAATATTATAGTCATGTTATCTCATTCTTTGCATTACAGAAGGTGAATATGAGGTTGTGATTATGTGGGTTAAGTAGTAAACCTAGAGAGATTCTTATTGAGTAGCTTCTTGAGTAGAGTCCTTTTCATTCTCCTTTTTTTTTTTGTGTGGGGGGACCAAATGGTTCTCTTGCTTGGAAGCTTAATACCAGATCCTAAGATTTTACTGCTGCAGGCTGATGGATAACTTCTTGCTTGTTTCGTGTGCAATTGACAGTCATCAGAACATGCTTATGTTTTTTGGAATTTGTATATGCAGGTCGCATCAGGCTCAAGGACAGTTCTTGCAGTTGGACCAGGTATACTTCGTAATCTGTTTGCTGATATTCGTTGTTTTTTTTTTCCTTTTTCTATTGCTTTATAACAAAACTAGCTTGCTAATAATATATTATATATGGTCGTACTTCTGCAGCTCTGTTGTTTTTCTGATGATATACTTTCCTGTATTTTGTGGTACTGAATTTGTATCAGTTAAGAGTCTGTAAATTTTCAGGTTTTCATCTACGTATAAATGCTCGCTTCTAATTGGTTATCAAAAGAATGCTCTCTTCTAACTAGCCTGTTCTATGGCAGTCAAAATAAACCTCTGCACATCCTAATTGCTCTTGTTTACAGTTGTAAGATCTCCTTGAGAACTGTCCTCAAATCATCATTTGCTCTTCTCATAAAAAAAACTGGAATGTTTAAATTCCATTACTAGTGTTTTTTTAAGGTAAAATTCTGTTAATAGATTATAAGATGCTGCAAATTCCACCACTTAACAAAAGAAATATTCGGAAACAACTTGTTTGAGGAATGTTAAGAAATCATTTCAAGAAATAGAAACCATGGTGCCTTTGATAAAATTAAGTTTTGCATTCCTACAAATCAAATATGAATTCTGTTATTCTTGAGGATACTCCAGGTTCACTACTGTCATTTTGTGAGATAGCATGCTAGCTTGGTTGGTGTTTGCGCACAACTTGTACTCAAATCCCTTTGGTGCTATGCTCAAAACTTATTTTACTATTGAGCAGGAAGCAAGTCAGCGGTAGATTCAGTGACTGGGAAGCTGCGCCTCCTTTGATGATACTGATAGCTTCTATTGGAACCCGTTTCAGATTTGAGCGACTGTTTGATCCATGTTTCCCAGAGAAGAGGTGCCTAGTTCTTGACCTGAGGAATTGATAGATGTGCTAATATCAAGATAGATGATCCATGTTTCTATGGAATGCAGTGCATAAACTTGTTCTTGCCTTTCAATTTTCAATTTGTATGTATATGTCACTGCTTCATATTCTTGTTGTCTGCATTGGTTGTGAAAGAGTTCATGCATCTTAAAAAGTATCATTAATCATTTCAGGTGTCTTAACTTTTTTGACATTGATTTCAAGTATTGTTAACGTGATGTGATCTTTAAAATCACTTCGTTGTTCTTGATATTGAAGTCTGCATAATTTACTAAACGTTGTGGTTGAAAAGATATTGTGTATCTCCCTATTACAGTCAATTTAAAATCTCACTAACTTTCATTTTTCTATAAATTGCATCGAGAAATATTTCATTGTCCAATGTAACAGGAAACTTAACATTGGACTATGATAAAGCATTATTATCGTCCTGAGCGATTTGACCGTCCTAAATCAGTACTTCCTCTGTCTCATTTTATATGGTAACTTTCTTTTTTAGTCAATTTTTAAAAAAAATTTACACATTTATATATTTAGTAATTATTTAATTTTAAAGTACCTATTTTATTCTTAATGAATGATTTCTAACCTAGCAAATATCTATGATTTATTTTAGATCAAAAGTTTCAAAAGTTTTTCTTTTTAAACTTCATGTCAAGTCAAACTAATTCATATAAATTGGAATTGAGGTTCGAGGGAGTAGAATACTATCACTTGGCATCTTTTAATACAAAAATAGTAAAAAAAAAAATCTTTAAAATATAGGAATAGATTTAAAAAGTTGATTGAAATATAAGAGATAGATGAATTTTAAGCTCATTCAAATTCCCTTTTAAATAAATTTGAAGGGAAAAAACTGCTGAAAAAGTATCTTATAACACACTATTTTTCTTCACTATATATATATATATACTAGATTGGCCAGCACGGGCCAACATCTGATGATCATGATCCTTAAAAATAAGGCATGGTAGGAACAATAATAGCAAGAACTAAAGCATCAAAGGATATATTTTAGCATAATTTTTTCATTGTTGCAGATTGCATTAGCATCAAGTTAATAATACATTAGTACCCAAAAAAGATTTACTTGATGCTTAGGTATGTTCTTTTGACAGTCAAATAACTACATGGGAAAGTATCATTAACAATTGTAATCTCGAAAATTAACCAAAAGAAATCACATCTGCCTTCATGAGCTTTGGACGAAAATTTAAACTTCACACAATTTTTAGTTGAGAATTAGAGTATTAACAATGCCAAGAATATTAACAATAGATCCTAAAAAGTTTTTCTTGATCTTGCAAATGTGAGCAATACTTTCGCTTTCATTTTCTCAAGCAGTTTTTTTCACAAGTATGTTGTTGCTTCTTTTGTGGTAAATTTGCACTGTTTCAAAAAAGTAAGACAAAACAGGATTTAGGAGCAAAGTTTTCATCTAAACCCATAAAATCGAAGTGATTCAGATGAAACAATTACATACCACTCTAGCTTTTCCAAATTGCTTTCTCCATTAGTATTTGGTCCTTGACATAAGCATCATGTGTTATTGTTAGTAAGTCATCCATCCGCAGAGGCAGACATAGCAGAGAATCAGAGTTCATGACAACTTTCAACCAAACATATTACTGCATTTTCAAGATGCGACATATTATAACCATGAAGCTTAAATCTCTTCATATTTGTAGGCAATAAGATGGATTGGATCGAGAGGCGATGCTTATGCCTCTTCTTTCAGCATTGAGCTGATGCAAAGTAACTGAAGTTCCCTTTTAAGAACAACCTCTCTAACATGAAACAATCCAATATATTAAACTGTGAGGTAATAGGTTTTCAAGCCTTATATAGTTCTAACCTTTTGTGTGCTTCTATCAGCTATGTTGCTCGGACTCTTCAAAAATGTCAAGAGGTGCGTGTCGGATTCGCCAAAAATAGTGTATTTTTGGAGAATTCGACACGGGTGCGGCATCGAAAGTGAAGAGTCCGCGCAACTTAGTCTATCAGTCAATCCACAAGAATTGCTCTGATCGTGATTTTGATCTCTTGTTGAGAATTCATCTAATCACATAATCGACGCTCGTCCCAAATCAGCCAAATCATCAAAATAGCATGAATTTTGTATACTACACAATAAAGTCACAAAAGTAGTAGTTTTTTTTATACATTAAAGTAACTGAATAGTAAATTCACAACTTGAAAACAGATACACATGATATTCAGTATACCCCTATGAGCTTATATTTTCAACATTTTCACAGCAGCCAAGTGATTATCAACATCAGCAATATCAATATTAACAGAAGCAGCCTGAAACATAATCGATCAATTATACTATGTACTGAACTTGCTTTCCTTTTCTACCATTCAAGGGAATCTCTTCAACGGTCTTAAATTTCAACATCTTCATTAGGCGTGTAATGCTAATTACTTCAATTTTTTCTTTGACAAAATAATTTTTAATAGCTTCTGCTTTTGTTGGAACACTAATATCCCTGCTGCAACTCCTTCAATTACTTCTATAAGAGGCTTCTTATACAATTATATCAACATAATAAGACAATTGGACAAGTATGAAAATTTCAGAAACAATCTCTCTACTTGCATGAGGTGAGGTAAGGTGTTGTTACACTTTATCCTCCCCATACTGAAATATTATTTTGAGATGTCAATTTTCGAAGACGATTACCTTCAAGCTACAACAGACCGCTCAAAATTTACTGCAAAGGGTGATAAAACATGTGAAACACCAATTGAAGAGGAATATATCACAAATTCTAACATCAACATCTTCAAACTCACATCGTTATTTCCAATTTGAGACTTCCCACCTGAGAAATGAGATCTCAAATATAGTGGTTAAATTCAGCGAGGTCATCAATGCTCAAAACTGTGCTAAGATACATTCACAGTTCAAAAAATGAAGTCACCATCTCTATATACATCAACAAAAGGACATAAGCAACCTCAAAAAATCTCTTCATCTTAATATTTCCTGGCACTCCTACTGTCCAAGCTCCATTTTCATGAAATAAAAACAATTTAAAAAGAGAAAAAATCCATCAAAATTTTATCAGAGAATATAACATAATTTAATTAAAGAAATAAAGAAATACAAATAGATCCAAATGAAGAAAGAAAAGAATAAGCTTAGAAAAATGGGTAAATTGACAATTACAGAAAAGAAAATGAGAATGGAACATTCCAGTTTCCATTTCTCTATTCATTATAGGGAGTTAATTATTTTGACAGTTTGTTACACGTGTTCAATAACCAATTACACAGATCCACATACGCAAAAAGCCAACCAAAATGGCCCTATGTTTTATAGTACAATTTTAAATACTATTTGTACAACTAATCATAGCAGTGTTCGTCCAATCTAACTCTCACTTCTAAATATTGGTAATGGTAATAATAATAGTAAGGTAATATATATATATATGAAAAGCTCCAATCATTAATCATTTATTCAATATTAATGCATTGATATAATAATACACTTTTAATACCTTAGTATTAAATCAAATAAATAAAATCAGTGACATTAAACAGGTACGTAAGGGTCTTTTCATATGCCAATAATTATTATAGGCTATATAAATGTACAATTTTTCCTATGATATTATTTAAAATATTAAATATATCTTTCACATTCCAAACATTTATTTGCTTAGTCCTTTGAGTTTCTTCTGTTATGATATCATTTATCCATAATGTTTAGTTTATACTTTATATAATAAGTTGACACAAAGATATCAAATCACTCAGTTCTTTTTTTCTTCTTGTTATCAAAAACTACCTTTTCTACATAAAATCTTCTTTATGTGTTGCATTTTGCCCAATTTTAACAAAAATGCCCAAGTAAATTTATTTTTTCCGGTTAGACAAGTTTTTTTTTATATAATTACTATATTTAGGTGCTTATATTTATGAGATAACTTATAATATATATACTATAAAAATTTTGTTAGAAAAATCCGTGCATATAATTTAAAAGTATGATGCGTTTATTGGGTTGTTTCATTCTTTTCTGATTGGTTTGTTTTGACTTATTATTAATTAGGTATATTTTTGCCATATTTGTGCCAAATGAGGTACCTATGTATATGTCTAAAGAAGACCAATAACATGTATATGCAGCCTACTTCTTTGATCATTATATGTTGTTTGAACAACTTTTCTTTATTTCTTTTTTCTTCTTTTAGATATATTTTACTTAAATTAAAAGAATCGATTCTTTGATTTACATTATTTGAGATAAGCGTTTTCTAAAAATAATCGCTCTATTTTTCAGAAGATAGGGATAAGGTCTGTATACAGAATTTAAATTTGATTTGTTGTTGTTCTAATGAGACGGGTTCCATTGCTAGAGCTACAATTTTCTTCTTTATGACTTAAATGTAGTGTTTAATAGAGTAGGAGTTTATTTATAGTATATGATTTTTAAAATATATACAAATCGAACCGAACCGACAATACATTGTGGATTTTCAAGCATTTATATGTCAAGGGTAGTGGGTGGGAATAAGATAACAACCTTGAAATGCTAGAACCACTTTTTTAATTGTCACAGCTAAGTCTGATTGATACCACAAGCGACGCCATTGACAGGTTCTGGTATCATGGCGTACGCTCAAAACTTCATTGCAGTTCTCTTCATCTCTTTCACCTTCGTGTCTACTTCATTCTCTCAATCTATTCTCGGAAATTCCCCACAATTATTGGACCTTTTTGCCATCAATCGCCTGTTCCGCCACCGTAAGATTCCCAATGACGATGCTCTCTACTGTGACAGCTGGCGATTCACTGTCGAGACTAATAACGCTGGTTTATGGTCTATAATCCCTGAAAGATGTATTTCCTTCGTTCAGGACTACACTACCGGGGATCGTTATTCTTCAGATTCAGCTGCAGTGGCTGACCTGTCACTCGCGTTTGCCAATACAGTTAAGGTTTCAAATGATGGAATGGACGCTTGGGTCTTCGATATTGACGAAACGCTGCTCTCCAATTTGCCCTACTATGTGGAACATGGCTTCGGGTGATGATTACTTTCTTTCTAATTTGCTGAATTTTCTCTTTGATTCCATATGCATTTGTTTACTCTGGACTGTTTATTATACAAAGAAGGTTTCTATTGAAATTCATACAAAATGGAAAATGACAGTGTTGAATGATTCTTCCTCAAATCCTTTTGGTTAATAATTTTGAACAGATGCTATTTCTGAGTAATTTCTGCTTTGCTTTACCGCAGTTGGTCTCATTTAGCTTGTTAAAAACTTGCCTATTGGGGGGAATAGCATTTGCCATTAAGTCACATCAATATCAGCTAGATAGTAACAAATAAGAAATCCTGTAGTGACCATGTCATTAGATATAATTGGGGAATTTAGGCGAAATTAAGATAGGCTACTGCATAAATACATAAAATTGTCCCTCAGTGAGATACTCATGTTTTATCAAATTCTTTTGGAGCTTGTAAATATTTGTGTGCGTTGGAACTAAGATTTGAAAATTAACTACTCAAAAGATTGAATATCCAATTTGTTGGTCTTGCTTTATAGATTACATGTCTTGTGAAGAAGTGATAATTCCTTGTTCTCCCTTCAAGTCCCATCTTCATTTGCTTGGAAAAATTTATTTACTTGTTGATCTACATGTTTTCATCATGTCATATTGAAGTAGATCGTTAGATCATAGATGTACCAAAATATACGAAACATCCTTTTACTTTGTGGTGATGATGAATCTAGCAACTCTTGGTTGAGCATCTGCTTGTACTTTACAAATTACAAGTATCCTGTAAAAGTTCTGTGTGCATGCGTATCTGAATCTAACCATAACAAACTAGTGTGATAAAACTTGGCTCTCACTCCATTGTCATGCTAACCTTTGTTTATCAAGCCATGATGCAACAAGCACCCGCAACATACTCAAGAAAATACTCAAAAGGAACAGTCTATTGGTTTCTATGCAATCACTAGTTATAGACTCTTGAATTCACAGTTTTCTTTTATGAGTAAAATCCTCAGCAACAGTTCTGTCATTGTCATTCAAACAGTTTGAGCAGTCTTATTTTGTAGCTTCATGCAGTAGCTTGTCTTATTAACTATTTCTTTGCTTAGGAAAGCGTGATAGGGCTCCAAGGTGAAAATTACATTCCATTGATGCAATCAGCAAACTTATAGAGTTATAGTTGCATCCTTTGAAGCTATCCTGGCAAATTTTCATCTTGTTGAAAGCAGCAGTAGTGAACTTATATCCTAATTATGTTCTTTCATAGAAGCACGGAGATTTGACTTTCCGTTGTTTTTATTTCTATTTGAATTTTCCTAAATCCTAGAATAAGAATATAATTTAATTAGTTTAGTGTTTTTTTTTACTCTGAACCTAAAACTGTAATGGTTTGAGAAAGTGGCTTGAAAGCCTAGGTGTAATTTGCATTTGGTTAAAGTGTAACATGCTTGAAGTTTCCAAGCATTATATCTTACTTCAACTCGTTTTCTGTACCTGGCACTTCTCCTAGTTTCTATTTTGTGGAAAGCTTTAGGGATACTCCATTATGCCTCTTTGACCAATCAATCATAGGATGGATGAGTGTTCACCATACGAGGTAAACTTTTAAAAGCAATCTGGGGACAGCTGGTTTAGCCCGGAAAACTTGGTATACTTCTTAAGCAAGAAGTATATAGTACAATTTGTGTACTTTGTTGAGGATTACTTAATGCTCTTGTAAATATTCCAATTTCGTAACTATTTATACAAACCCAGATATCGAGCCAAAGTTATGCTGAAATTTTAACCCCTTGGTTTCAATGTTCATAAGGTAGTTCCCATTTGAACTTGACTTCCATGTGATACTGCTACCCAAGAAGATTCTAGTTTATGTAGTGTAGTTTGGTTGACACAGGAGGCCAGCTTAAATGTTCTGATTTAAAATAGATTGCACTTTGTGGATTTTTACTTGCTTGTGGCATTCTGATCATACATTCAATAATTGTCTATGGGAACTGTTTCTGTGGCTTGGGCAGGTACTGAATGATTTAGTGATGGAGGAATTCATTACCTGCTGAAGCAGTTATCAGTTTGTTTTCCTTTAAGACTTGGCCTTTAAGCTATTATGCTTTAGAAGTAAGATTTCATACAGTCTGATGTGGGATTTACACTGGGTATGTTGTTGTTGTCGTAATCTCGAAACTAAATTGAAGAAGTTATATGGTACTACCACAGAAGTTCTATAATTCAACAACAGATTATTCCTTCCTATCATATTCATAATTGATTAAATTCATATTAGATCATTATGAACTAGATTATCTTTATCATGTTTTCCTGTAACTACTAGCATCGTACTTTAGCGGATACTTCCTTCTTATCAGCGCCTCAACTTTGTTTTTCTCCCCTAAACGGCTTCCTCACCTACCGGTTTCAACATTAGGATGGCATAGTATAGAAGTTTTCTCCCTGTTTCCAGTGTGCTAATAAACTAGAAAACCATTTTGCGGTGCGGAACTGGTAGTTGGTGAATTCATGAAAGTGATAGTGTGGTAGATGGTAGTGTGGTAGGTGAGTAACTTATTTTTTAGATTTTATTATAATATCTTTTTACTAAGTGTCTTAATCTTGATATCTCTTTAATATTATTTTTTAGTAGTGCTAAATTCATAGTAATATGTAATAATATTTATTGTAATATTCTTCCGATATTTGTTTTAATCTGAATATTTCTTTAATATTATTTATGATATATTCTAGATATAACATATCTTCGGTTCTTTGGTACATATATAAATTTTCCTCCATTAATTGTTCTAATAGTTTTATATCTTCCATAGATTTTACCCAATATTGTAAATATCCGTAGTTCATTTTAATCTGAATTTATTTCTAAATACTTTTGATGCTTTAGTATTTGAAGTCTAGTAGACACTGTTGCTAAAAGATTGTTTCAAATGTACTCAATCCCTGAAATTAGGTGCAACATAGTTTGGGTGTCTCGCTTCACTTGGATTGCATTCCACAAGGTACTTAAAGTGTGTACCTTGTCGCGCATGAGTTAAGTCTTGAAGAAGGAAGTACTAAACAGTAAATACTTAGATTATATGCTAATTGTGAAGAAAAACTTATAAATGAATATTTAGTGATTCTAAGAAATTTATTATCGGAAACTAGTCAAAAAGTTTAAGTTGAAACTTAAAATTGCATCTCTGCACAAACAAAATTCTTAAAATGATTTCTGAACATTTTTGTAGTGTATTTCACTCAACTTAGGTTTTCCAATTTCTTTGTCCATGTAATTGTTGTTTTTTTGTTTATAGTTATTTCTCTTTTTGGTATTAGACATATAATTTTTTTAGTCTTCTGATTTGCACCTTTCTTCATTAAAACTCATGCTTTAATTGTGCTTTTCAGCTTAAAGCTCCATAGACATTACTTTTCTACGCTTTCGCTTTGACAACACTAGCTGAAGATCCACTTGGCCGTCAAATGTGATTTCTCTGTGATTCTTTTGATTCTTTGTTGTTGCTGTGTTGTTCTGTGGGTGATCACATTTTGCTGCTGTATGCAGATCGCAGATCTTTGATGAAATCGCCTTTGACAAATGGGTGAATGAAGCTAACGCTCCTGCTATACCTGCAAGTTTAAAACTGTACAAGGAGCTACAGCAGCGAGGATTTACTATATTCTTGTTGACTGGTCGGAGTGAATATCAAAGGAACAATACAGAAAAGAATATGGTGCATGCTGGATACAGCAATTGGGAACGGCTTATTTTGAGGTATTCAAACAATTGTTTTTCTTTGAGAAGGCAAGGTAATTTTATTGATGAACCAGCACTAAGGGTGTGCTTCTCAAACTGTAGAATATTGCCAGAATAAACAAAACCCAAAAGCATGCCCCAACTAATCTTGTAATGATTCTAACATCTGTAAAATCCATTCAACCTCATCTACTCCAAAAACAAAACAAAAATATACAATTAGCCTTCATCTTGTGAATGGATTTGGCACCATCTTCCAAACACCTCTAATTTCTCTCATATACAAGCAGGTATAGTTCCACCGTAGTAGCTTCCTATTTCCTTTTCTGGTCCAGCATCTCAACAAGTCAGTTATTGTTTCTGGCATAATCCACTGCATACTGGTAATATTTAAGAAAAGCAGCCACAGTTGAGCAGTAACTTGGCAGTGGAAAAATAAATGACAGATGGTCTCTTCTTGTCTCCTACAAAGAAGACATTTGCTATATAATGCAAAACTCTTTTTTGTAAATTCTCTTGTGCGAGATGGGCTACTTTGCTGACTATCCATGTGAAATACGCTACCTTTTGGTGCTTTGGATCTCCAAATTTGTAGTCATGGCCAAGGTTTTGTCAAATTTTCTACCTTTATTTGCAGTTAGGTTTCCATAATAAGCTATCATCAGTATTGGATAGTTGCTGGTAAGTGTTTAGAAGATCGGAAAATGCAACAAACCTAATCACCTCCCAGTCACTGAAATTCCTTCTAAAGTTAATTCTCCGAATACCAGTAGTCTGCTATCAGCCAAAAAAGATAGTTGTTTACTGCCAAAGTAAAGAAATCTGGAAACAACTCCTTCAAAGGGCCATTACCAGCCCAGTTATCCAAACAAAATGAGATTTTCCTTACATTGCCTACTTTATAACCAGTCAGCCTTGAAAAAAGGCTATAGTGATCTGATACCCTTCATGTTCATACGCCAAAAGATGTTTGAACTTATCTGGTACACCAATAGCAATCAGCACCATACTTTTTCTTGATAAACACACATAAAGCTTCCACTTATGTATTCAACCTCCATAGGCACTTCATCAATAAGCTAATGTTATGATGGCTGAGGTTTTTAACCACAACATGTGGTATATCTTGAAAGAATGACCTACATAAAAAAAAGGAAGATTCCTGATGTTTTTAATTCCCAAATCACCATCTTTCTTGCCATAAATCAGAGTACTCCATTTTACCAAATTGTAAGTTTTCTTCACCTTAAAGCTGTGGCTGAAGCTTTGTGATGTAAACAGGGGACCTTCCGATAAAGGTAAACTGGCAACCCAATACAAATCTGAGAAAAGAAAGGAGTTAGAAGATGAAGGTTACATGATTCGCGGGAACTCTGGAGATCAGTGGAGTGACTTGACAGGTTTTGCTGTAGCACAGAGGTCCTTTAAACTTCCAAATCCCATGTACTATATTGCATGATAATAGAGTGGTCTAAAAAGTGTATGGTGTTCTTTGATAATTGATGTTGCAATTCTGTGCTACTACTGAACTTTGTGTATATCATTATTCTAAACACATTTCACAAGATGTGGACACCTTGTTCAATTGGAACTGGTCTCTTACTTTTCCAAATAATTGTAAGACCCCGTGTATTTTAATATTTTCATTTGGTGCGTCAATTTAACTTTCGTTGAATAGATGAATGAAAATATTACTACAATTAGCTTTACTATTTCCTGCAGGAATTGACGCAGCTGTAGAACAGGGGCGGCTCAACGTAATCGGAGGCCTAAAGCGAAATCTTAATTAGAGGCCTAAAATCTAAATAAACTTCACATGCATTTATTTAAAATTTATTTTTCTTACATTTTTAAATGCAAAGTATTACCTAATATTTTTTTTATATATAATGATTTATTCGATTTCTTTTTCAATTATTAGTTTTAAATAAGATTTTATTAATTCAACGTTGAAAAATATTATTTTACTCGGGCAATTATTATATGAATTGTTAACATAGTTCTATAAGTAATAAGTTGACAAATTTCAAATAAATGTAAGAGTTAGAACCATAGCTTTGATGAAGTTGATAATTTGGTTACCCCACATTTTACTATGGTTATTGTAATGCTTGAAAATCTAAGAAGAAATGGACAAAAGAATTTACAATTCAATTTGTTCAACACTTTTCGACTATTAATTGATATTTTTGAAAGAATATTACTCTAATTTATCAACAATTTAAAGAAGAGAGTGGAAAAGGAGTTAAAAAGAAAATAATGTGAGTATTAGTAGAGAGTGTAAGAAAATAAAACAATATTTTCTTGATTTCTTCTATTTGAATGGGATTGAAGAGAATAAAATAATAATTTTACATATATACTTTTTATCATAAATAATTAATGTTTTTCTTTAAAAATTAACACATAATTTATTCTTGGTAAAAATTTGAGGCCCCCTAAAATTGGGGGCCTAAGGCCAATGCCTTATTTTTGTATACATAGAGCCGGCCCTGCTGTAGAATCACTATTTTGGCTAACAAATAGCTGTTTAAATTCCCGATCAAAATCATTCGGCATCACATTGTATAAGACGAGTAGTAAAACAATCTCTTTGTAGAAATAACTAGTTTGTGCAGGTATCAATGGGAAGAAATTACAGTCTTTTTATTTTTATTTTTATTGGAATTTGAACATGAGATCTTATCCATTTTATTGACCACTAGGTTATATCTTTGAATGCTCGATAGCCCCACGTCACGCTAGTGTTTACAGGGGAGCAATGGAACAGAGTAAATTATCACTATTCTCCATTTAATTGTAAATATTGTTGAATACCAAGCAATATAGTTTTGAAAATGAACCCACCACAAAAAAAGATATTGAAAGAAAAGGAACCCATCATATGGTCTATCTTTAAATAAACCTAGTGTAAAGGGCGAAAATGGTCTTGAGTAAATGGACGAATGATACAAGACAAAAATGACCGGTTACCCCAATTTGGTAGAAAACATTGAACAACATTTTCGGGATGTTAGTCCTTCTTACTTTCACAGGATTTAGGGTGTGTTTGGTACGAAGGAAAATATTTTCTATGGAAAATGTTTTTCTAGAAAATAAGTAGACTTTGGACTTATTTTCTCATGTTTGGTTGGTGAGTAGCAAATATTTTTCGGAAAGAATTTTTGTGTGTTTGATTTATGAATGAAAAATATTTTTGAGAAAATATCTTTTATTTTTACTAGAGAGTAGAAAATAATTTTTGAATTGAAACTAAAAATATTTTTTAAAAATAAACTTAAATCTTTTTGGGGGAGGGTGGGGTGGTAGGGCTGGCCAGGGGTGGCGGGGGTGGGGTAGGGGTGAGATGGGATAAAGAAATAAAAATTTGAAATTGAAAATATTTTTAAAAACAAACTTAAATTTTTTTTGAAGGGGATGGGGGGTCATGGGTACGGGTTTGGAGTGAAAAAATAAAAATTTGAAATTGAAAAATATTTTTTAAAAAACAAACTTAAATTTTTTTTTGAGGGGGGTGGAGGATCGCGGGTAGGGGGTGTGGTGGGGTGAAAAAATAAAAATTTGAAATTGAAAATATTTTTTAAAAAACAAACTTCAATTTTTTTTGGAGGGGGGGGGTCGTGAGTAGGGGTAGGGGGTAGGGTGGAAAAATAAAAATTTGAAATTGAAAATATTTTAAAAAAAACAAACTTAAATTTTTTTTTGGAGGGGGAAGGGGGTCACGAGTTAGAGTGAAATAATAAAAAAAATTGAAATTGGAAATATTTTTCAAAAACAAACATTAAATTTTTTATTTTTTTTTGGGGGGGGGGGGGGCGTGGGGTGGGATGAAAAATAAGATTTTAAATTAGAAAATATATTTTAGAAACAAACTTTAATTTTTTAATTTTTTTTTCGGGGGGGAGTCAGGGGGCTGGTGGGGGTGGGATGAAAATAAAAATTTTAAATTGGAAATATTTTTAAAAAAACTTAATTTTATTGTGGGGGGGGGGGGGATAGGGGTAGGGGGTAAGGGTGAGGGTGGGGTAAATAAATTAAAAATTAAAGATGAATTTTTTTTTAAAAAAAAAAAGCTTTAAATTATTATTTTTTTTACAAAAAAATTAATTGTAATTTGAAGTTGGATGAGAGTTTTGAAAAATGTTTTCCTTAATTTTTAAAGGAAAGTCATTTTCCTTAAATTTGAGGAAGATGAGTTGATTTGAAAAATATTTTCCAAAACATTTTACCCAACCAAACATGATTTCCTTCATACCAAGCACACCCTTAGTCATATTTAGTTCAACTAAGTAGTTAGTTGATTAGCTAAAGGTAGATCAGAGGTCTTGTCCCGATGGACACTACTCAATCATGTTAAATGCTTCATACATCGACAGTCAGTCATGTATTTCAATTTTGACCTTTGTATCATCATGCTTCGAAATTTTAATAATTTATTTATGAAAAACTTTTATTTGAAGACTTATTTTCTTTATCATGATGAATTTCTCAAAGAGCATGTTTGTAAATTATGCATTTAACTCATGTCTAGATGTATGTTCATGTTTCATGTCATGTTATGTGTACGCTCAGCCATCCATAACATCGAATGTCGGCCACGTCTAGAGTATGGTTCGGCGTGACAATGAATTGTTAGAAAAAAACATATAGTGCAATAAAAATAGGCTAAACACACAAATAATCTTTTAAATTTGTTGGTAAATTTTTTATTAGACGCTCAAACTACAGTTTGTTTAAATTGAGCATATAAACACATATTAAAGTGTTCCTATTAGATATTTTCGACTCAAATTTTAGAATTTGTTTGTGCTTGTTCTCAAGCACCACTAGATAGATAAGTTAATCACTTAAAATATGTCACTTTCTTTAATTATACACATTAGCTTTAATAAATCCTCAAAACATCAAACTTATTTCAATTGATATTGATGCCTACAATTTTAAAAAGATGACTTATTTTATATGATTAATTTATGTACATATTAAATGTTTAAGAAAACACACAATTATTTTTATTCAAATGTCCAAATGAAATTTAATAGTCAATTTAAGGAATTATTGATATATTCTGCCATAATAATAGGGGTAAATTGATGTACCATGTTTATAGCCTATGGTACAAACAACCTTTTGTAAAACCTCACCAAAACCCCTTTCCAAACCCTAACATCAGTGCAAAGCTTTTGTGCTTCATCTGCAATGGCTTCTCGCTGTCGTGCATTCTCAAGACCAGCAATTAACTTTGTCAAATCCACAATGAACAAACAATCAAGCATACCCACTTCCTCTTTTAACATTCCTCGCCCATTTCCAACACTCTCAAGGCAAGTCCTTCATCCAATGTATTGAAATTCTTGAATAAAGATTCAATTTTGATAATTGATTTTGATGTTTCAGGCCATTGCCTCAAATGGGTTGTCTTCAATCTCTGCTGCCGCTCCACACTGCTGTCTCTTCAGCTCGACTCACATCTTGCCTTGGTATTGATTCCAAGGGCTCCAGATCGTTGTCTCAGGGTATGCTCTGCAGTGCCAACCCAGGAGTTTGATATTTTAGAAACTGTATCTGTAAGCAAAAATCACTTTATGATCATGTTTATGTATCTCTTTGGTTTTACTTTTTGTTAACTTAGAATCAAGATTTTGTCTTGGCGGCTGAATCTTTCCATATAATTACTTTTCGTTGTATATTAAGTATGTATTAGTCAATGGAAAGACGGTGGTTAGTGTTCTAGGTTGCCTGGTCGACGCAAAGAGAGTAGTTATATATACTGATAGAATGTGGTGTTCATATATGTTTGGACGAACGATGGCCTCTGGATGAAGTTATCTTCTTTGTCCAAATTCACAATATAGCCAAGGGGATCAGTTGACAGTTAGTAATTGTAATGGATGCAATTGATTGCTAGGAATATGTGGGGATCCTGAGAACTAAACTAAAATTTAAGTAAACTATAGTGCTATATGCTTAGATATCATGGATGTTGGAATTTTGGCCACTGGAAACATCTCATGGGTTATACCAAGTTACCAAAATCTGTCAGGGATTTAAAGCTGGACCAGAGAGCTGCTGGAGGATATAACATTGTATAGGTGGAGAGAAATTGAATTGACTTTTACGGCCCTGAGTTTACACTGTGGCCATTTAAGCTTCATCTTTCACTCCTTTTTAATAGTCTTGTGTATTCTTGGATGGAGAGGCTGCAATTGCAGGGGACATAGATAAGATTGAGAGGCTGAAGAGGGTGCCAGTAGATAATTAGAACCAGATACATTGAGTTTAACGCGTTAGCATATCGGTCTCATTGTTTGCAATCGATAAGTCCTATGTCGAAGGTAGCTTTAGCTAGTTCAAGTTAGTCATTCAAAATTTTGAAGGATTGCCTCATTTGGACAACTCTTCGCTACTGCGTTTGGTCATCTTCTTCTCTTGTGAGTATAGTAAGCACAATGGACCCCGATCATAAATCAATCTTCTTGAAAGAAAATTTATGTAGGCAATATTGTGACAAGTTATACGACAACCTAACTCCAAGTAGAAGACAACCAACTAGTAGCACAACATCTGAGAATCTTCAAGATCCTTGATCCTAGAAACAGAATGAATCCAATTAGTAGTCATGCCATCTTTATATTCTGATTGTTATGTAATCACTTGACTTAGAGAAAATCTTATAGATAGGTAAGCCAAAATTTTATTAATTTTAATGTCACTAAGCTTGTGTTGAATTTGCAAATGGTGGTACAACAAAAACTCAGTTTCTTGACTATGCTAACTTTTGAGGAAACTGAGAAAGTCTGAGAGACCATCTATTTCATTTATGTTCTTTTTCTTAACCGGAAGGACAAGATAGAAAGACAATTGAACTTTAGTTTGTGAATGTTCTTCACTTTTCTCTCGGAACATCTTAAGCTCCTGTTGTTCCAATGATCCCTACCATATACAAGTTGGGATTGTTTCACAAAGCATTCTTCTATCTTCACCAATTCTTTCCCTGTCTAACAGGAGTTCCTTGATTGTTCATGGCATAGCTCACCTTACTCTAAAAGTATTCAAGAACAGATGCCGCATATGATAGACGACTGGGCAGTGCAAAAAAATATTAATTGACCTTTTTAACTTCTCTTTCGTATTGGTAATACCAGTGTTGTGAAAGGCGCTCGCCTTTCGCCTTTGGCGACAAGGCGAGGCACCATCGCCTATCTCCAGAGAGGCAATGCGATTTCAAAATGGTGAGCTATGGCAACGTAAAGGCGATAGGGGACATGGCGAGGCGAGGCGACTGGCTTCGCCTTTTAATTTTTTTTTAAAAAGGTTTGATTTAATAATTAAAAGCCAAAATTAGGGTTCTTTTGGGTATTTTTGCAAACCTTCACCTTCGCAAGACTTGCGCTCCTCTTCTCCTCCGTTTTTCGCGAGTCGCGACCCATTCGAGACCTTCTTCGCCACTGCTGCTCAGCTCAGGTAAGAGACCTTTTTTTTTCTTCTTCTTATCTTCTAGTTCTTCTCTTCTTTTCTTCTTCTTCTCTACTCTGTTTTTCAATTGTAGTTAGTTATTGAGTGCTCTGTTTCCAGTGGTACTGTGGTAGTGACTAGTGAGCAATATAATCATGATGAAGAGGATGTTTATCTTGATTTGGAAAATCTTGTAGAAGAATAGACTTTTAGAATTCTAGCATTGCTTGTCAATTGTCTTATGAATTATTGAGTCATTTAAGTTCTAGACTTTTAGTATCTACTATTAGTTTTTAAATTGAAATATTTGCTAATATATATTATTGCTATTAAGATTTTGAAAATATATATATGCAATTAAAATTTAACATTTTTGGTATTATTTGGCATCTCAATTCAAAAAGGCGAGTGCCTCGCCGCTCGCCTCGGCTCATGGCGAGGCAGGCCCTTGTCGCCTTTCGCCGTAAAAAACACTGGGTAATTCAGAGGCATCTCTTTTCTTATGATATAGGTCAGCATTGGTTCATAATTAACCATCCAAGAAAAGCATGCCATCATGTAATGAGCTTTACACTTCCACAATATCTTCCAATGCCACTTTCCTGCCAATTAGTGGTATTCAGTATATATATATATATATATGTAACATGAGCTCACATTAAATTTTCAATCTTTTCTTGGGATCCAAGTAAGAATATCAATTACATTCGGGAAAATCTAATAATATTCCAGCTCTGATAAGAGTTGAGAGATTCTTCCTATAAATCCTATTGTCTATCATTGCAAATCCTTCTAAAACTTATATCCCCCAAATTAGCATTCTACATTTATCTGAAGTGGCATTTGTGTTTTAAGAAAACTAGGCATATCAAGTGTTGCTCTTTTTTGTGGTGACACTCTTATCCATCAATCAATTTAAAACATAGGTTTCCTGCCATTACACAATTTTGTACAAGTGTTTTGCAGCAAACTTGTGTAGCCCCCTAACTTGTTTCCTCACACAGCTCCCATCGGTGGAGGATACTGAGCATGTACTTCGTGAATGATTTTTCCCATGTTTGTCCTCAATCATCTGTTGTCACAAAGGCTCCTTCCCTAATTATATATCCAAAGCTATTTGGAGACATTAGTTTTATTATGCATCTAGAGATACTTGTCTTCCAATTCTTCTTCCCCTCCCCCCAATCTGTAGCAATCCTAGTTGATTTCAACAAGTTCGCCACACTAGAGGTTGATACAAGAACACTAGTTCTATCGCCTCTAATCCCGCATTCTTCTTCCAGCCAGTCGATATCAGAGAACTCGAGCGAGGGCTACACTATGCATTCAAGATCAAATACTGCATAAAAAAGAAATCCTTGCTTACATCCTTCTTTTTCCAAGTTAAATTTGGATTGGTAGTAAGTAGATTTTGTCCTCCAGTACAAAAGTATAAACTAGAAATTTCATCTTGAAGGATTGAATTGTTCCTTTACGGGTCTAGCCAAGCAGCAACTAAATGTGGATTCTCACCCTTGACTCAGGTTCTCGCTTTGAATCACTAAGAAGTTCAATGACATCTTCTGTTATTATCTTTTTCTTCAATGTATTAGTTGGTATTCTATTAATTCCTACCTTGAATAAATGGTTGAATAAGAGTGAAACAAAGCTAAGAAATGATTCATTTTGTTTATATCTAGTTAACTAGATGGAAGTCTCCCTTCTCCTTGTTTCTTCTCTATTGAAAGTCCTTTCTTATTTTAATCGGTCTCTTATCCACTTCAGCAGGGATGGGAAATGAAGACGTATATGTAGGAAAAGTATTAGACACTATTAGTCAAAAACTATCCTGTCTCCAAGGGAGAAGTACTTTATCTTCCAATTACAAAACTTTTTTTTCACATAGCTACAGTATCCCTTGCCGGATCTCTGTTGCCTTGTTCTTTGCTCCTAGGGAAGCCCTAAATAAGTATTTTGAGGCATCCAACACAACAATCTAGATTCTCAACGAGGTTATTTACTACTTATTACCAATTAACTGGGAATATGTGGCTCTTAATTGGGTTGATGTAGACTTGATGAGTGCCAATACCAATAAGATCACCCTTTAATACATTAATTTACACTCTGTCAGCATCTAAAGTATGTGTCATCTATATACATGATGCGTGGAACTTATGGAGAGGTTGTTCTCACCTTATCTGGCCTAAACCTTTCTTTCTATTCCATTTGCTTTGCTTTTTGCTCAAATCTTTCATGACCATATTAACAAAAAGGAGATAGTGGGTCTCCGCGCCCTTAAGCTCCCTATGTATTGGAAATAAAAATCCTTCTAGGGAGTCATTGATTGTAATTTGTAATGAAGAATCTGACGAAGGAGATGCAAAAATAGTTTATTTGATCCATTTCTCACCATAGTATCAGGTGTCTTTAATTAAAAGTAATGGGGAGATCAATGATGACATAACACATCGTATTAGTGCAAGATGGGTGAATGTGAAGGTACTGCCTAGGCTTAAAGGTAAGTTCTATAGAGTGATGGTTAGATCAGCAATGTTGTATGGGATGGAGTGTTGGCCAGTCAAGAACTTATGTTCAAAAGATGAAGGTTGCGTAGATGAGGATGTTGAGGTGGATGTGTGGACATACTAGGAGAGATAAGATTTGAAATGAAAATATCTGAGAGATGATAGGAGTGACTTCCGTGGTGGACAAGTTGAGGGAAGCGAGGTGAGATGGTTTGGGCATGTGAAGAGAAGTGTAGATGCCCCCATGAGTAGGTGTGAGAGGTTGGCAATAGTGGGCATCAGCCATCAGGAGAGGTAGAGGTTGGCCGAAGAAGTATTTAGGGGAGATGATTAGACAGGACAGGACACATCTTGAGCTTACCGTGGACATGACCTTAGATAGGGGAGGATTTGGAGGTCATGAATTAGGATAGAAGGTTGGTTGGTAGTTGAACACTCTCGCTTTCTTATGAGATAGGCTTGATGGTCTTACTTGGACCTTCCTTCTTATTAGTGGTATTGCATTATCCTTGTAGTTTCTTGTTATTTGGTTTCGGTTATCACTTGTGCTTGGTGTGTGCGTGCTTCGATTATTGCATTTTTAATTGTCATTATTGTTCTTTCCTCTATATGTTGTGTACTAGTCTTCATTTAACATTATTTCGGTGTTGCTATTGTTCTTGTTTCTGCATTGCCTTTTCCTAACTGCTTGGATATGCTTTATTTTAAGGCAAGGGTCTATTGGAAACAATCTCTCTAGCTGTATGAGTTAGGGGTAAGGATGCGTACACTCTATCCTCTTAGACCCACCCCACTTGTGGGATTATACTGGGTTTGTTGTTGTTGATCCATTTCTCACCAAAACCCATCTCATTTTGTTTATTAGTCAAGGCCTATTAATAATAACTAGTGTGCAAGGTGCTCAACCCACCTCTGGATGATGAGCTAGAGTAATTTATCTCCCCCTACCAGTTCACAAAATGTATGGTCAATAAGAGAGCTCCAATTATTTAATACTAGTTCTTCGACACATGAATTTCCAATCATTAGGATACATGATTTCGGAAAATCACATCAATGTTGACTAACATGTTCTTTTTTCATAGATTTACGCACGAATCGACGATTTAAATAAAAAATGAAATGATATGCATTAAAGCATCAAACATAGATATTTTTGTGTAACAATAAGATTTTGAAAAACATATCAACTATTTTGAAAAGAAAAAAGAATTAGGTATTCTCCTTAACTTACTTAGAAGAACGAACAAACAATGAACAAAACAAAGTGAAAAAATGATAACGAATGCGCATTTGCGTTCATATATGCATAATGCATCAAATTAATAACATAAACTCATGAACAAAAAGCAATATTTTTTAATCTATTCACATCAAACAACAGAAAATAAATTCAGTGAAGAAGTTGCCCTAAAATTTTAGCTGGATATTTGGAAAAGGAATAAGTAGTACATTTTTTTGCGGTGTAAGAAGTCCAGGAGAGAGGAAATAAATTGATTTGAGGTGTGAGCAAAGTTTGAAGGATGCTCTTGCTGACTAGAAGCAAGACCTTTGTGAGTCTTCCTAATTTCAAAAAATTTCAAACAAAGAATGATTTTGTGGCCTTCTTTAGATTAAACTCTTGTATATACTATAATAATGTATTACATATAGTTTGTAATGGGATGGGTTTGAATAAAGCGAATTGGATAGTGAGGATTAATATGCTGACGGCTGACCCAAATAGTTTGAGATTGAGGGCATAGTAGTAGTTCTTGTAGTAGTATTGAGTGATCGAGAATTGATGTATTAGTAGCTAAAGTAAAAGGTATATGTGTGTGTATGTGTTGGTGCCTGGGGGTGGAGGTGCTTAGGTCTTTGGTCTAGTGGAAAGACCACAATGCGTGATGAGTGGGTTAGACACATGTTAGAGGTTTGAATCATGCCTGGTAGAGAGGTGTGCCCATCATCTATTGAGCTCCGAACGTGTGCCCACAGGTCCCTGGGTGCAGATCTAGAGGTTAGATCCTTCGTGATCGAAATTTTAAGATTTAGGGGTATGGATACGGGTGCTGGATTCTGCCAAAAATAATTCACATATCTAAAAATAGAGTTATATGTCCAAATTATGAAAAATTATGTGAAAAACTTGAGTGGTATTCTGAAGAGAAAATATTTATCAAGAGAAGAGTCCCCGAAGGAGATAAAAGGAAAAGGACTGTCATAGAAATTTCTATTACAAGGTATTTCATTTTCTTCAATTTGACCTTAGCTTTTGTTTTGATTACAAATATCATTGTATCTGTCCCAAATTTCTCCATTGATTTCGGTTTAAGTACCCAAAATCAGTTAACCAAATTCTATAAGGCTCCCACACCCATGTCGTGTTAACACGGGTGCAGCACCGAGATTGAAGTGTCCGAGCAACTTAGATTGCACGTGTAATGTGTGTTATTTTTGAATTGTTCTAGTCTACTTTATATGCTATCTATTCATGGATAAGCATGAAAATGTCATTATGAATTTATGCGTATCATACTTCTGAAAAAAGCTATGCGTATCCTGATGATTTTTTATTTTTTTTGGTCTACAAGGCATTTGATATTATCTGACTATAAAATGTAAAAATTGTCTCATCCAATATCATGACAACCATGGCCACCATTGTTCCTTTTCTGCCGTGATTGGTTACGGCCTCAAGTCAGATGTTTGTTAGCATCAAATTTTCTAGAAATCACGTATCATTATTTATGACATTGTTATGGTCAAATTAGTATCACTATGTTAACCATGTCTTGCAACTTTAGGAAGTTGAAATAAATTTGCTCATTTATCCCGTTAATCTGCCCAGAAATTTCTCTTGCTGATTTGCCTTACACTTCTCATCCTCACCATGCTTAAAAAGTAATATCCTTTTGCTTCTACTTGCCAAACCAAACACGGAGGCTAATCAGCTTTCAAGTTTATGTGTGCCCAATCGTTTGATTTTCCAGTGTTATGGTTACTTCAAGTAGGTGCTCAGTCATGTAGTTGTCATTTATGTCTTATACGTGTCAAATCTCTAAGTATTTGTGATGGGCATAAAAAGTAAAAGAAATGTAGTCCATGAAATGATAACTTGGTTGGCTAATAAACATCAGAGTGCTCCCTGAAGAACTGCTGCTTAATTGGGTTTTTGAAGGATTAATTTAATGTTATTTTTTACTTTATCAAGTTTAATAGATATTGCTGACTCGTGTTCTCTTTTACCAGAGTTAGGACTCTCAGTGCCTCGATAAGAGACTATTGCTCAAGGAAGAAGAAGGTTGTTTAATTGACAGTCACAAATTTCTTATTAGCTGATGTCCTTCCAAAATTTTCTGCAACATCTGTTCTTAATCATGTATGATAGTGACAGCATGCAACTTCTGACTTTTGCCTCAATTGCCCTGATTTTTTATCGTTATTTTGTAAGATATTGTCCCTCGATTCGTTTAGAAACAATTTTGAAGTAATAATGTTTGTACTCGTGCCATACTGCTCAAGCTGACATCGTTAAAGCAGTCTTACCATGAGCCCATCTCTTCTTTTATTAATCCATTTTAGTTGCATTGTTTGTCATGGAATGTCTTCAAGGTGTTTATATTATTTATTTTTCCAATCCTGCGAGAGATATCAGGTATTCTCTACAGCAAATCTACTTTTTAGCTAAATTTGTTTGATCATTGGTGATAGTTTTAGCCAGATGAAATGGAAAGGCCTAAATACTTTGTTGAAGAAGCTGAATTGCTTAATGAAAGTATCTTTGTTTAGTAGTTATGGAAACGTGAAGTGCATGTGAGGGGGTGGGATGGTTGATATTTTTGTCTCCTATCCTTTCTAAAGGTTCTTTGCCCACTGCCATCTTGTCTCCATGATCAATTGTCACTCTTCCATCCTGGAGTTTTCTTCATCAAATCCCTTCCCCACCTTACCTTTATGACATTTTGTCTATTTTGGTAGGGAAGAAAAGGGTGGCAGTGGGGCACCCATGCGGTCTCAAGTTCATTTCCCAACCGAGACAAAAAAACATTAAGTGATTTCTTTCCATTTGTTCTAGCTTTGGTGGACAATGTTACTTGATACCTTTGTTGTTTGTGGAAGGTGATGGGTATCTCGAGGAATTAGTGTAGGTGTGCGAAAGCTGGTCTTGACACCAAAAAGAAGTGGGGGTGAGGGAGAAAAGGGCAAAAATTGGGGCCCTTTTTAGTACCCTGTACTCATTTATAATTTGGTTTGTCCTACCATCTTTATGGGTGCCACAATGCATTGTTGTGAAATCATGTAAACACATCTTATCTAGGAAGAAAAGTTAACTGAATTGGTTCTTGGTGCTGGGCTTGGATGGTATAGAAGTTCCATCATACTTTGGAATATTGCCTTTTTTGGCAGAGTTTCCTGATAATTAAGTGTGTTTGGTATGATGAAAGTCATTTTCGCGAAAAATGTTTTCAACCCAGCTTTTGACATCACAAATTTTATGGATATAGATTTTTAACGTTACGACATTTTCGATGCAGCTTTTGACCTCTATGCTTTATTCTCAGTACTATCTATGGTCATATCCTACACATGTGATGATGAGTCCAAATAACAGAGTTTAGGGAGGTAATTAATTACTTCATGAGAAGGTGGATGTGATGTTTCTCATGTAATTTATGAAAGTTTACTGTGTAAATGCTTAGAAAATCATTTGGGAAAACAACCCTACCATGCCTAGTTAAGTTTTGTATATGGAGAGGATAGATATTATATTCCTATACCCATAAATCATAATAAAGTAGCTGAATTAAATAAATACTACTACTTGAGAAGGAAGATTCTTAGATTTGAATTAATCATTGGTCAAAGCTATATTTTGATAATGAGCTGTCTTCATAGCTTTGCACTTTGAATCCCTTGCTAATTCACTTCATTAGTCTTTTTTCTTGTAGTTCAAAAAATGAAATTATTATTCAGATCATCAATAAGATAAACGTTTAAACAATCAATTAACTGAGCTACTAAGATACCCCAAAACAATGACTTTTCTTGTATCTATGAAAGTTTTTGCCTTTTTTTTTTCCTCCAAATATCTCAGTTTTAAGTTACTTTGTATTGATATCATATAAACTATCATTGCTTTATACTTCCTGTGTTTCAAAATAAATGTTTTTTTAGAATATGACACGTCTTTTAGAAAAGTTAGTTAGATGACATTAATCAAAGGATAATTTGTCATTTGTTTCTTCTCCAATTTTTATTAAACCTAAGATATTGAAAATTTTATTAAAGAAGAGGGTAAATTTTAGAAAAAAAACAATTGATACATCTTTAAACTCTAAAAAAATTATCTCTTTTGAATGGAAGGGAGTATATAATACAAATACTTGTTTAATAATCAATATAGCGTACTTTGTCGAGGTAAGCATTTGTTTTAAGAGAACATTTTTCATGGAAATATTGTCGAGGTAAACATTTATTTTAAAAGTTGTGGTTTAGCACTAACTTTACCATGTTAAAAGACTAATTAAAAAAGTAGGAGCCAAGACACTGTCCAGAGATATGACGTTGTACTAAAATGAAGACAAAAAATCATCCATTCAACGATGAAATATTCCCCATGCATGGGAGCCCATATATCTATACAATCCCACGGTTGAGCATACTAGCGCGAAGTCAGAAATTTTAACAAGTAAATTAAAATATTTTTTTAAAAAAAAGCACGAAGAAAAACTACATTTTTTTAAAATTTTGTACGCCTATCGAAATTATTTATATTTTATTTATTAAATATTTAAATTATGAAATGCTAGTTCTTAAATATTTAAAATGAAGTATCCCTAGTATCGTTGTATGTTTTACCATTTGCATTAATAGCATTGTTCCTAGAATATGGAACACTAACTCACTTGGCACCACACTAGCTAGGGGTCAATTCAGAATTTTGAATTAATTAAACTACTTTTATTTATTTATTCAAGCTATCTATCTATGTTTTTCGTTCATTTTTATTGATCATTTTGAATTTTGTACGCTCCTTAAGAAACAATGATTAATATAAATATTTTATCTCATAATATTCGTATTAATTGATATGTAATCTAATATTTTGAGAAATGATTTAGGAGAAATAATTAATGTTGAGTGTAAATAAAAAAATATAATTACATTTTCTTGATATATTAAAAGCACAAATAAAAACGAAAATCTTTTTGAAGTACTGGAGAAAAGTACTTAAAGAGTAACGTTGAAGATTTACCTAATAATGTAACTACGTGATTATTGCTCCTACTCTAATTAAGTGAACCAGTTTTCAATATCTTAATTTGCTGGTATTGTCGAGATATCCCATTAATTAATTGATTTAGTTTGATCAGGGGAAATAAATCTATGTTTACACAAACTTATACATGTATGATATATGTTGACTGATTAAATTTTATATTTAATTATAATTTAATAATATTCTTCTATTTACTTTTTATTTGTTTACCAAAGAGATTTAACTCTTTAGTGCATACATACAGAAATCATATGATTTGATTTGTACTAAAGATAGAAAAAATGAAAAAAAGACTAAATATGACTTAAAATATGCGAGTCTTCATCATCTTAAGATAATCAATTCAAAAAGTCTACCCTAAAAAAGATTAAATTCAGCTAAAGAACAATTAGTAGTATATATCTAAGTTAAACAAGGACCTAGGTATATAGGATAAAGAGAGGGAGCAAATTTAGAGAGAGCTCTTGAATGTGAAGTAACTAATATTTATACTTTAATTTGTATATTATATATGTGTCGTACCATTACTTTTTTTTAAAAAAAATTATATATAGAAGTTTGTTGTGGAGAAGCTAAAATGTTCATTTGTTAGTGAAAAGTACAATACTACACATTACAATAACCATATATAGGTTCATGCATATATCCCTACTTATAGATTATGCCTTTCAATAAGTGTAAAACTTGAGGCATGGTGGGAGGGAAAGCATCAACTACGAATTTAATCAAATTCAATAGTTCTAATTGAAATTTTATATTTATTTTTAAAATTCATGCAATATATATAAATTATTAATTTACAATCCAGGCTGAATATGTTTGGTATGGAAGGAAATATTTTTCAAGTTTTCTATGTTTAGTTGGTCAAAATATTTGAAAAATATTTTCTTTAGGAAAACATGTTCCTCAAAAATGAGGAAAATGACTTTCCTAATAGAAGTAGGAAAAACGAAGTGACATTTCAAGTTTATTGTATCCTTTCACCCACCCAATCCTCCTAACCCCCACCGGCCCATTGACCATCCCACCCTCGGCCATCCCCCAACGGCCACTCTCCATTCCATTCTATCTTCATAGTATTTTGCTAAATAACGTATAAAAATGTTCTTGGGATAATATTCTCTTTCTTACTTACCAAACATTAAAAAATAAGTAAGAAACCCACTTATTTTTCAAGAAAACATTTTCCTTTATATTAAACACACAAAATTCAAAATTATTAACTTTAAATTCTGGCTACTCCTTTAAATTAACTAATGATATAGCTAGCTAATAGCCTTAGACTGGTATCAAATGCTGCACTAATTAACAAAATGTAAAAGAGAACTTTATTAATTGAATAAAAATAATAAAAGAGCAGGATGAGGCACAAGAGAGGCATGTGACTACTGATATAAATTACATTTTAAGAAGAAAAAAAAGTGAAATTAGTTGTTTAATTTGATTAGTTGATTCACAGCTGCAAAATATTCTTAAAATAATAAGAATCAATTGCTATACCACTGCTTCTGTAACAACTCCTGCAGCAACTTTTTATTTTTTATTTGACATAATTAATTAATTAAATTTTTGACACCATAATGAGAAACAGGTTAACAAGCATCAAACACCATGTGAATTACTGAGGTTTGGCAGACCATTTTATTCAAGTAATTACACTTAAATTATTATTAAACCACAATGAAATTGGTGGAAAATATTTGGTAATTAGTAGTACTTCGGTTAAGAATATAAAGTTTGATTCCTATGGATCAGCTAGGCCTAGGATCCCACATACAATATTAATAGTCTCATCACTACAATAAAAATAATTTTTAGCTACAATAAATATAAATATTAATAATAAAATGTTAAAATTAGTTATTTGTCATTGGATCCAGTATCGTTATAGACTTTAGGGATATTTACAAAAAATGCTAAAATGTAATTGTCACTAGTAATCACCTCTAAAAAAACATATTCAATGACAATTAAATTATTGTTATTAATTAATTATTACTAAAAATTATTTTTAGTGTAGTAGTGCTCCGTTCAATGGCATAGCCACATAATGGCCGGACACCCTTCGTCGAGAAATTATATATATAGAAAATTGTACGAACTATATATTCAAGTCAAAAATTATTTTTCATACATATATATATTAAATCTTAAACATCCTTAACGAAATTTCTGATTCCATCACTGATTACATCCCATATTTTTGGAGTTAGACGGACTTTGTTAATATGACACTGGCCTTAATTATCTTGACTCTGGATCCTTCTCTCATTTTCCATCATTAACTTGTTTAAGAAAATAGTAAATTCAAGAATCT